CGGGTCGCGCGTGCGGAAGGCCAGCGACAGCCCACTGAGCGAGCGTCCCGACGACACGTTGTGCCCGATGAAGGCGGCCGGGGGGCCCTCGCGGAACGTGGCCTCGGCCACACCTGCGCAAAGAAGAGGCAAGCATCAGGAAATGCCCCACAGAGCCCTGTCCAGGGACGCCACCGCTCCCAAGCTCGCAGGTTTCGCAAACTGCACCTGTCCCCCCATGCTCTCCACCCACCCATGCATTCCCTACCCTATGGGACTCATTCTGGGACAGGACTGGGGAGACCACTGTGCCTGCCCCCCAAGGTAACACCTGACAGTCCAAGGCCTGGAAAATCTGCCCCCTCCCCACTTCCCGGAAGATCCTCTGACTCATCATGAAGGCTTCCTCCTCACTGCAGCCAGTCATCTTTTCAAAGGGCCATCTACTTAAAACGTGTCGCTCCCCACTGCCCATGGGATAAAGTCCAAGTTGCCTGGCCTGGGACTCAAAGCCCCTACCTATTCACTCTATTTCCTGCTGTGTCCCCTTTATACTTGTGTTTTAGCTGGTTTTATAGACCTCAGGGCCTTTTCACATGCTCTTCTTCCTGCCTGCAATGTCCTTTCCTGTGGCCCCTCAGAATCTGAACATGCTCGCCTTCTCTAGTAAGCCTCTGTCCCTCTGGACACAGTGGCCAGCCACCCTGGGCAGGGGTTGTAAATATTCCTGGCCCAGCATCCTGCATAAAGCATGGGGATCTAACCAGCTTGACTATCCAGCTCCAGCAATCAGGCTCCTGAGGGCAGGCACTCACAGACAAAGCCATCTGGGACCTCCTCACAGGTGGCCGGCGGGAGGCAGGGCTGGCTGGGGCACCACAGCTGCTGGGCACAGGTGGGCCCCGTGAAGTTGTCAGGACAGGTGCAGTGGAAGTCATTCCAGGTGACCAGGCAAGTCCCGCCATTGAGACAGGGATTGGGCTGTGAGACAGTAGGGGAGAGGCTGGCTCAGGCCGGCGGCAGTGTCACCCCCCAGGACTATCACTGCTATGACTCTCCACAGAGCCGCTCCTGGGGACACACGACCTCCAAACCATGTGGAAGGGACTGGGGCTTCACAGATAAGAGCTGGGGCTCAGCAAGGTGAGGCCACGTGCCCACATCACCAGCCAGCAGGGACAGGAAACAGTTCACACCAGGCCACTCCAGTTCGAGTGAGCGCTGTTCCTGAACCCACGGGTCCCTCTCCCCTGAGCAGAAGCCTCAGGCAGCCCTGTGTCTAGGTCAGGGTGTCTGTCGGTTCTGCCTCTCTAGCAGAAGGACCTTAGCTAGGCCACCTCCCCACCTCAGTTTCCTCACCAGGGAAAGGACATGCTAACCCCAGTGACCCAGCACAGATCCTGGGTTAAGGTCCCCTCCCAGGCACTCACACTGCATGTGTCCTCGGAGACGCAGCCCTGGGTGAGGTTCTGGGACTGGCCCAGCTCACTAAGCTGGCTGGAGTTGTCCCCCAGCAGAGGAAAGAAGGGGAGGTGGAGGCCGTTGAGTCGCAGGTCCTGGAGGCAGCCTCGGAAGGGCCCACCCCAGGGCTGGCTGTCGGCAGGGAGGAGCCTCCCGCCCACGTGCACCTGCTGCCCGAGGTCCTGAAGCTGGTCAGGCCCAAAGCTGAGCGTCACCAGGTGGGGGAGCCCATTGTCCCAGCGTCCAGGCAGCTCCACAATGGGGCTGCCAAGCGCCTTGGCGAGGATCTGGCCCTCACTCAGGAAGACAGTCAGGCCAGCCACCGAGTCATTGGCAAACTGCAGCAGCAGGCCAGCAGGCTCCCGAGTGCGGAGGAAGAAGGACACAGTGAGGTTGGGGCCTGGCAGCTCGTGGAGCAGGAAGGAGGTAGAGCTCAGGGTGCCCCCCAAGCCAAAGGTGGCGGCAGGAATCTCTGCGGGGAGAGACAGGGCCGCGGGTGAGGCGTGCGGGCAGGGGGAGCCCCGGTTGCAGGTGCTGCCTCCCACCTGGCCTCACCATGGGCACACGTGGGACCACTGTATGGCCGGGGGCAGTCGCAGTGGAAGTGAGTCCATAGGTCCACACAGGCCCCTCCGTGGGCACAGGGTGGAGGCTGGCACTGCTCCTGGTGTTCGCAGCCCAGGACAACATTCCCGCTGAGGTTGTCCGGGAGCAGAAGGTGCCCGTCCACAAGTACGTCCTGGATGCAGCCGGCAAAGGCCGAGCCACCCAGCCGCGCAGAGCAGGGTCCGGAAGGCCCAGGAGCCACCAAAGCTGTGGGACCTGCGGCCACGGGACCAGAGGCCACACAAAGCCCGGCAGGGCAGCCCTCATGCCAGAGCTGCAGCTCCAGGGCCCCAAGGCGGAGTGCTACCTCCACCTGGTGCCAGTGGCCATCATTGAGGACCATGCCCGGCAGTCTCAGGACAAGAGCGGTGGCACCGTGACTCCGGAGCGTGGCTTGAAGGGTGCCCTCCACCAGTGCCAGCTCCAAGCTGTGCTGGGAATCAGTGCGGGTGGCCAGGGCCCCAGCAGGCAGCGTGGTGCGAAACCTTAGTGCCAGGCCCAGGGGGCCACCAGCCGGCACCGACGCCCACACGGGGGCCCTGGCCACCACAGAGAAGGTGGTGTTCTGGCCACAGTCAGGCCCATGGGTACCAGGCGGGCAGCGGCAGGTGTAACTGTGGACCCCAGACTTGAAGATGGGGATGCAGGCAGCAACCAGTGGGCAGGTGTGTCCCTGGCAGCCGGTGAGCTGCACAGAGCAGTCACGTCCACCCCAGGCCTCCGGGCACCAGCAGGTGTAACCAGCCACAGCGTCATCGCAGGTCCCGCCGTGGAGGCAGGGCTCCGACAGGCACTCGTCCACATCCTCCTCACATGTGAGGCCTTCGGGAGAGACCGCGCCAAGGCTCAGGAGCGCTCAGGGCCAGAACCACACGCTCAGCCCAGAACTTCCATGCCTCTTGTGATGGACCCCACGAACCAGCTCCCAAAGGGTTTCTCCTGATCTACTGGAGCTGGAGAGTCTCCACGCCCTGTGATGCAATCTGCAAACACTCGCCAGCCCCCCGGCCCACTTTTCCTGTCTTGACAGCTTTATAAGCCAGTCAGCAGCCTGCAGCTCACCCACCTCAGGTGCCTCCTCCCTCCGCCTCCATCAGCAACCGCAGCTCCACTTCAGCAGCACCTGGCCAGGCTCCTCCGCTCCCTGACACCCACCTCGCACCCCAGCCTTCACGACCCCTCATGGCTGGGCTCTAGCAAGCCCTCAAGCCTCAACTCTGCTTCCTAAAACCCTTGAGTTCCCCATTCCTCCAAGCATTTCCTAGAAAGTCCTGCCTCTGGAGCTTCGCTCATACTCTTTTCTCTGCTTGGAATCCCTCATCCTCTCTTACTCTCACTTCCAAACTCCTATTCATTCTGCAAAGCCCAACTTAGAGGCCTCTGATTCCTTCAATGGGATCCTCTTCAGGCCTGAATATATCCTTGATACCCAGTAGAGAGCCTGGCATGGCTTCTGTGGACAAATATGGAATGGAAGAGTGGGGGTGGATGTGTGCACCTGGACTACACCGAGGGACCCAATCTCTATCCCACCATCCCTCTGAGGGGCTCCACGCTACTGTGAAGAGACCACCTAATCCTCTCCTTCTGACCTCCCACCAGGTGCTCAGGCCCCAGCTCAAGAGGCCACAGCCCAGCTCCAGCTCGGCCAGAGCTGCCACAAAACAAGCCAAGGCCAGTCCTGCGCCCCCACATCCTAGCTGGGCCAACGCAGCCCCAGAGGAGCCACCTAATGGGACACCCAGCCCCAGCCAGCCACAAATACAGCGGCCTCCTGGGAATCCCAGCCACCGGCCCAGCCTCCCCCTGCATGCAGCCTGGCCCCTGTACCTGTCAGGAGCCATAGGGCCCCCAGGAAGGGGCGCAGGACGCACAGCGCCATGGCTCCCCACGGTCGGCTGAGCGCAGCGCCGGCTCTGAGGCCGCAGCAGAGCGCACGCCCGGCTGCCCCTCCCTCCGAGCGGCTCAGGAATGCCGGGCACTGGCCTCCCCCACAGCAGCCTTGCCTAAGGGAGGCGAGCAGGGAGCTCAGCCCCACAGCAGGGTCCCCTCCCGGGCCCCAGCCTCAGAGACCACCCTCCCTGCCACCCTGAGCTCAGCTGGGAAGCAGCTGGGTGCCCGTGATGCGGGTGAGCCTACAGGACGAAGCCTTTCTCCAGGGCACCACTGCCACATCTGCAAGAAGGGGTCGGGAGCCCCGACCGCATGCGGCTGTGGTGAGGAGAAAGAAAAGGCAGAGAACACTTTGTAGAGGCCAGGCCGGCACGAGGGCAGGGAGGGGGGGACTCCTGGGGCAGGACTAGGGACCTCAGCAGATACAGCCCCGCTCTTCAGGCCCCTCCAGGGCACTGGTCACCTCAGGGTGGGGGGGCGCTGAGCCACAGCATCTTCGACCCCCACCACCTTCCCCAGACAGGAAGCCTGTGCCCAGGAACCTGTGGGCAGAGCAGGCAGCGCGCCTGGGCAGGAATGCGGGCGGGCAGGTGGGGGAGGCGGCAGGGGCATTCCAAAGGGGCAGGGGCACTCGGGAGTGTGTGTCCTTCAGGTCCACCACTGTCCACGTGACTGTGCGTCAGCATGAACCCACGGAGGGAGAGACGTCCTACACTCCCACCCCTACACGGCAGGCCCAGCTTGCCAAAGGCAAAGCCTGACTGTAGTCTGCCCCCAGCTCTGGCAAGCCCACCGTCCCCGTCCTGGTGCAACAGCTGCGCACATGCTCCCATGCCTCGGCCTGCACAGCCCCGGATGCCGGGGCTACACTCCTGACCCCAGGCTCTGGGTCTAGCCCAGTCCTCTCTCCTGGGCCCTGGGGCTACCTTTTTCCCTGTGCAGGCTCCAGAGACATCCCGTCTGTACTCGCCGACCCCCAACCGGCGCCACCCCGCACAGGGGCTCCACCAGCCAGCACCCTTGACACAACCCGCTCACGTGTGAGGACCTACAGCTCAGGGCTTCTAAATATTTCCATCAGCTGCTTCTCGTCCTGCTTCCAGAGCCTGCGGCCCAGCTCAGCCTCCCGTAGGTGGGATCACACTCATGTCTGCCTCTCCTGTCCCCATCAATCCGCACAGCAGACAGAAGGGACCTTCTCACCGCCCCCCCAGCTCTGACCTTGCCCTTCCCCGGGGCCCACCCCACCCTGGAACCTGTGTAGCCATCCGAGCAATGACACTGGAAGCCATCGAGCAGGTCCTGGCAGCGGCCACCATTGAGGCACGGCCCTGAGGCACACTCATCCACATCCACGCTGCAGTCGTCTCCTGCAAAAGGCCCATCAGTCGCTCCCACCCGCACCTCAGAGCCAGACCAGAGTTAAAAGAGTCCATTTTATAAGTAGGGACGTTGAGGCCCTGTGTCAGAGAGGCACTGACTCAAGCAGGGTAGCACAAGACGCCTGGCAGAGCCAGGTCTCGGGCTGGCCTGGGACCCCCCTCTCTGGACATCTGGACGTGGCCGACGGCTTCCCCGCCAGGGCCTCACCCTCAAAGCCCGCAGGGCAGAGGCACAGGAAACCCGCGGCGTGGCGGAAGCTGAAAGCGCCGGGCAGAGGGGCCTGGGTGCCCCCGTACAGGGCCGGGTCCGAGCGCTGCAGGCAGAGGCCGCCGTTCTGGCAGGGACGCACCGCACACTCGTCCTCGTCCACCTCGCACCGCTCGCCACTAAAGCCTGGGGACGCACACGCAGGCATCGGGTCACAGGCGGTCCCGAGGCGGCTCCCCTCCACTGCCACGGACGCAGCTCTGGGCGTAAGTCACCAACAGTAAGTAGTACATTAGTGTTACTGAGCACGTCGCCTGCGCCACGTCCTGGCCTAGGCTTTGCCACCATTAAGCCCTCCCGCTCCTCATTGCACTCAGGCGTAGGTGCTATGAACTTGCAAACCAGGAAACTAAAGCGCAGACGTACCGCAGTCACCTACACAGAAGGAGAGGGCCTAGACCGCCCTCGCGCGTGCGCTCACTTGCACACCCGCCGCCCTGCCGCCCGCAGCCCTGGGGCGCGCACGCTCTGCTCGCGCGCACGCGCACGTACCTGGCCAGCAGAGGCAGCGGAAGCTCCCGAGGCCCTCGAGGCAGGTGGCGTTGTGCGCGCAGGGCGCCGACGCGCACTCCAGCACCTCCTGCTCGCAGCGCGCGCCCTCGTAGCCCGTGTCGGCGCAGTCGCACCGGAACCTGGG